AAAAAAAAAAAAAAAAAAAAAAAAAAAAAAAAAAAAAAAAAAAAAAAGGGAAAAACCTGAAACAAGAAGAACAGCAGAGACGATCAGAGTCACCGCCATGCCCATCTTCTTCCTTAAGAACAACACAGCCAAGAAGAAGACTGAATAAAGGAGGATTGCAGAAACAAGAATTATGATGAATAAATAAGGGTAATTATTTACTAATTAAGAATATTTTATATATAAGGAAATTAAAAATACAAAATAAATAAATAAATAAATAATAAAATGATAATAATAAATAAATAGAAAAAGAAGGAAGTTTTTGCATGGGAGACAGATAGATATGGAAAAAACGTATATAGCCTTGTTTCTATCTATAAATAAATACTCTTCTTTTCATTCTAATTTTTCCCGAGGAAATTAACTGTGCTAATTTTTTTTAACCGAGTTCGGGTAAAAAATTTCGAGAATTAACTTAGCTATGTTTATGTCGGAGTATTCAAAATATTAATAAATTCGATAGAGATTGTTAAATGATGAGTCAAGAAATACTCTCTACATCGGGATAAGACCTTTTGGGAAAATCAAAGCAAAGTCACGAGAGTTTATGCTCAAAGTGAACAATATCGTACCATTGTGGAGAGTCGTGTTCATCGAGATAAATAATATTTTATTGATTAATCGAGTTATGTTTACTCCGATTGAATTTTGATTATTTTGTATGGTAAAAAGTTGTGTTTTAGAGTCAGTAATTTTAATTTGATTTTACTCATTTCACCCTTATATTTTATCAAATATTATTGGGAACTATATTTTTATCTTTAGGTTCCGATTTTTTTTTAATAACAAATCTAAAATAATTATATATATTTAAAATTAATGAAATAAAATATTTAATTAAAAAAAATTAAAATAATTATTAATCTGAGAAGGAGAATAATTATAATTATATATTTTTAAGTTTAATGGAATAAAATCTCCTTTTTGGATTAAAAAAAGTAAAATAATTATGAAAATTAATAGATTTGAATTTTATAGTATATAATTATTTTTCTTCCAAATTTGTATACTAAAATACAATAATATCTAAACACTAAATTTTGATTTTATTATTTTACTTTAAATTATTTATAATATTGTCTGTTGTTATACTTACCATTTTAGTGCTAAAAAAACCCTTAATTTATATTATTAATAATAAATAATGGAACTTCGGGTCGGGTCTCAGCTAAATCTATCGACCTATTAAACAAAATAATAATAATTCAATATTTAGTATTTAATTAGTAATAAATCTATAATAGTGAATTAATAATAAATCTTTAATATATAATTAACAATCATTTGTTTTTGTAATTTTATTTTCCACCAATAAATAAATAAATAAATATATATATTACTGACAAAATCATTTATCTTGCTTTCAAATTCTATGATCTTATTTTATACTTTTATCTCAAATTTTAATGGCTCTCCAATAATATCAATTTAAAATATTTAATTTCCGACAAAATATTACTAATTATGATCGTTAATTTTTTTATATTTTTATTTATAAACCAATTATGCTCGTTTTGAGATAATCTCAACATCATCTCGTGGAACAAAGTCTTTTAAGGCCTCTTACAAGCTCTCAAGAATCTTTTCCGACAATGTGGGATAATCCTCGAGGATCCTCTCATCGAACAAAACCTCTTTTGAAACATCGGTTGAGCTCTCGAAGAGTCTCCCTTGAATTAAGGGTTGACGAGCCCTCAAACAAATTACACCATTTATTCGACATGAGTCATTTTAACAATGAGCTCGAGGCTCACACTTTGTTCGACAGTTCAGTTAAAGATACTATTGATAGTGTACGGTATGAGTAAGAATGTGCATGAGTTTCAATTTGATATTAAAATTTAAAAAATGTGTTACCATTTCCATTCATATTTACACTAAGTTTTGATCGAATGAACTCTCAATTAATTATATGGTAAGAAGATGGACGTTTCCATTTTTTCAATTTTATAAATATATTAATAGAATATTACTATAAACAAAAAAAATATTTTGTAGATAAACAAAATTATAACCATTACTTTAATGATTTTATATGTTTTATGAATTTAAAGTTTTTCTAAACCCTTTAATACATCCAATTTTAATAAATTTTAAAAATATCTCAATTATTAAAATTCGTTTATATTAATATTTCATATAATTTTTTGAAAATTTATTTATATAGTATATATTTTTTTTCATACAGAAATTATTGTTATTATTATTTAATTAATTTTAATAAAATTTACTAAATTCAATATTAATTTAAAATTTATTGAGAGTCCAAAAACTAGATTTAAATGAACTAAAATTGAATTAAAATATATTTTAACATTGTAACTAAATTAATAAAAATCTAAAAAAAAATGCTCTTCAATCTTATAAAAATTTAAAAAATATATATTAATTTTAGATGAAAATCGTTAATACTTTATTTAAAAAATATATTTCAATTTATGGGATATTTTTCAAACCATATAATGGCAAAAGATATTTTTGAACCGAGCTCTCATAATATTTTCCTTAAAAATTCTAAAAATACTTAAAAAAATTTCAAAAATAATCTTACGATTAATATTTTAAAGTTTAAAATTATTTTTAAAATTTTATTCAATGTATTATTGAAAAATGGAGTGAAATAAAATTAAATGGTAAATATATTATTGAAATTTTAGAAAATTTAAAATAGAGATTAAACTAATAATAAATTATTATTTTAACAGGTTACAATTTTTTTGGCTCTCAGTATAAATACCGCTTTGCAATTTCTTAAAAAATTTTCCATTAACTTCGGCTGGAAGCTTTGGAGACCTGGAGAAAAATGGAAAGAAAGCAGATTGACGGCGATCGTCCGTGGCAGTCTTACAACACTGTCTACACCAATGCAAAAGCCGGTAATTCTTATCTCTCTACTACTCACGAGTTGTTGCTAACCTAGGGCTCTTTTTTGAAAGTTTTGTTTATAGCATCGATTTAGATTTGGAGGGTAATTTATTGAGAGGAAAATTTCAAGTAATTGATGAGCTCTTCTGATCTTGTATGTGTGTATAACGCAATTGAACCAGTGGTTTGAATAGCTTAATTTGTATCCATGATCTTGACCCTGATCCGAATAGATCGATTTCAGTATATATTTTATTTGTTTGAACAAAACTGAAGAAAGAATATACGAGTTTATTTTTCGAGATACCGTTGCTAATTAGAGATTTCAATAGTACAATTGGAAAATAGGAACGGATTTGTTCATTTCAGATATAACATTCAATAACTATTGATATTTAACTCAATAAAGTAATGAATTGTTACAAATTATATTATGATATCAAGTAATCTCAATACTTCCCTTCTTTTTTTCTGCGTGTAAGGTATGGAAGGTGTTGACAAGGAGAAAGTACAAAGAATTGTCTATGAAATGAGTAAAGGGTCGAAATATTTTGAAAATGAGGAGCGGAAAGAGGCCATCATCAGAGAAAAGATTGAGAAGATGCGAGCTAGATGTATGCAGCTTACTGCAACGGATCTTTCTCAGTATCAAAAGGTATATTCTACAAAAATTATGTCCTGCTGCATCTTCATTTATATACACTTGATTACATGTGTTTTTTTCCTTGTGAAAAGTTGCATGTTTGAGGCTCAGAACTGATAACTTTAGTTTCCTAATTGAACAAATTCCAAACCTGGAATTAGAAGCACCTTATTCTCACATTATGCAACTGACTCCCATTTGTGAGGAGATTGAGTTTGTAACTTGAACTCTATAGCGAGGTTCGTTCAATTACCCGGGAAAGGATAGAAATTGAATCCTTGTTTTCTCCCTTACCCTTTTCCTTTTTTTTTTTTTTTTAAAAAATGATTGGATATGCAATGATAAGTCATTGTTTACCTCGAAATAAATTTCCTGGCCTCTGAGATGATATTTCAGCCAGACTATCGTATTTTCACGCAAATGTTATGGCTCCTAATTAGAAGTTTGGTGCAGACATGGGAATATGTATGTGTGCTCAATAAACGTCTGTTGCCTATTACACTTGAATTAAATCAGGCAGATGTCATTTCATGCAATTCTGATCGACAAAATTTTGTGGTCAACAGTTTGGACTTTTCGGTGAATGTTGATTTTGATGCATACCTTTTGTCGTGAAATATTTAAAATTTCTTTGTGTGTCTGTATTCCTAGCCACAGTCATGTGCAATCACAATTTAGAGTTCTGAACCTAGCTAGACAACTGAGTAGGGTCCCATTATCAAATCTTTCGGAAGAATGATTCGACTCTGTTTCTCCACTGCTATTTAGGGGACTGATAATTCAGGCTAATGAGTACATATATATAAATATATTTTATTATGGTATGATCTTCAGTTTTTGCTTAACATATCAGTTTAGTAAAGAGTGTAGTTCTCATATGAGCAGGTTGCAGATAAAAGAATTTTGGAGCTGGAAGGTACACGTGACCTGTCAAGGATATGGTTGCATGTAGATATGGATGCTTTCTATGCCGCTGTTGAAACTTTAAGCAATCCTTTATTAGAGGGCAAGCCAATGGCTGTTGGTAGCATGTCGATGATTTCTACTGCTAACTATGAGGTTTTCTTGTCTCTATATATGACATGAATTGTTGCATTTTCAAGTTACTGGACTGGTAACCCTATTGTTGTAACTTTTATTCTGGATTAGGCTCGAAAATATGGAGTTCGTGCTGCTATGCCTGGTTTTATTGCACGTAGATTATGTCCAGAGTTAATTTTTGTTCCCACAGATTTCAAGAAGTATAATTATTACAGTGATTTAGCTAGAAAAGGTAAGCAATTTTGCTTAAAGGAGCTTTAAATGCATTTTGTATGTTAAGTGCTTAGCCTTTAGTATTCACTTGTTTGTCTTGTTAGTATTCCGTAGGTATGACCCCAACTTCTTGGCTGCTAGTCTGGATGAAGCATACCTCGATATAACTGAAGTCTGCAAAGATAGAGGCCTTACTAGTGAACAAGTAATCACATTTATCACCTTTTCATTATATCTTTTAGAACTTTGGTGTTTAAGTATTTAGGATTTATCTCGTAGACAAGCCTTTAGTCATCCTATTTTGGATCCTTCTCTTTTTCTTTTCTTGTTTTCTTTTTTTTCAAAATTTTATATCTTCTAGAGAATTCAGAATCAGCATTAGAGAATGTTCTTATGTAGTTTTTGAACGAGAGACAAATAAATGAAACGCGACTAATACTCAAAGATACAAACTCTACAAGGGAGTGAAAATTAGAACACAAAAAGAACCACTACAAAGAACAAAAAAAAGATCAAGATATAAAAAATAACTTCTGCAACAAGAAGCACCAAGCAAATTGAACAAAAAGAAACAAAGAAAGAGAGAACCTAAAGGACCAAACTCAACACAAAAGATCGTACTTTGAAAACAGAACCACATACCACGTTTGAGAACCAAAAGTCTTGAACAAAAAAACAGGAAAGACTCAAAGATTGTAGACCTAACAAAAAATAACGGCTACCAAGGAGAAAAAGAAAAATTGAGTCCAAAGTACCAAGCATGAACCACTGAACCCAAACCAAACGGCAATGGAGCAATCACTTTTAAAACAATTGCTTTGAGAATTGAATGTAGGAATTTCACACATCTTGAGACCACAAGCTTCAATAAGAGAAGCAAATTTGCTAGACATCGATGAAGGAAGAGAATGAGGAATCACTGTCACTTTCTTGAAATAATGATACTAAATCATCACCAAAGGAATCCTTTGCTTCAAGATTGTCAATAGTAGTTTCATAAGTTTCAAAGTTGATTTCACGTTACTCAAACTAACTTCAAATGCATCATCACAATCATCAACATAATGTGAGAGAAGGAAAACTCGTGGGTTCCTTTGAAGAATGAAATACTCCTTTAGTGAGAACCACATTTGATAAGATAAAGAATCAATACAAGGGGAATAAGATTCGGATTACCTTGTTGATCGAATATCTCAAGCCAAGAACACTTTGTTTGAGATTCGAATCACTCCAGAAGCAAGATCGATCATGTCTAGCTTCAATGATTCTTGTTGATCAAATATCTCAAACACTTGTTTGAGATTCGAATCACTCCACAAGCAAGACTGATCATATCGAGCTTGAATGATTCTACATGCAACCTAAACTACATAGAGTTGCAAAGAAACTTAGCCATTGGCTAAAGAAAAGCATAAATGCTTCTTTTGATATATCTTCTAAGTCTGATTACAAATACAACATAGATGGCTTTATATAGCCTCAAAATGAAACTATTAAAGGCATTCCAAAAGTTGTAACATTCACACCTTTATGGCCATAATTAGCCATTATGTAAATGTAACCGAAATTAAATAAAAAGTCTTAAAACACAATAACTCTAAATTATAACCCACCCAAAATTTACAACAATCAAACTTTATTCTTCTTCAATGTAGCATGAATTGAAACATCTTTTGATAATTTTGACAACCTTTTCTTCACATCTTCATTGAAGCATATTGTATGATTGATGTCTCTTGGTTCATATCATTCTCCACTTCTTCAAGAGGATTCGTCCTCGAATCTATTTGTGAAACTTTGCTGCAAAAAATAAGTTATGGAAATACAAAGGACCTCACAACACTCTCTCACGTGTATACATTCAAAGAATTTTAGGCCACTCTGTTTGCACTCATTTACACAAATGAAGCTCTCATTCTCACCTCTCAAAATTTTAAATAGAGCAAAGATTGAATTTTGAACTTTGGGTCGATTAAAAACTAAAAAGATGAAAATAAATAAAAATTAAATTGAGAAGAAACGCAAAGGAAACATATATCCGATCTTGAGCCTGAAGCTCTGATACCAAATGATAAGATAAAGAATCAATACAAGGGGAATAAGATTCGGATTACCTTGTTGATCGAATATCTCAAGCCAAGAACACTTTGTTTGAGATTCGAATCACTCCAGAAGCAAGATCGATCATGTCTAGCTTCAATGATTCTTGTTGATCAAATATCTCAAACACTTGATTGAGATTCAAATCACTCCACAAGCAAGACTGATCATATCGAGCTTGAATGATTCTACATGCAACCTAAACTACATAGAGTTGCAAAGAAACTTAGCCATTGGCTAAAGAAAAGCACAAATGCTTCTTTTGATATATCTTCTAAGTCTAATTACAAATACAACATAGATGGCTTTATATAGCCTCAAAATGAAACTATTAAAGGCATTCCAAAAGTTGTAACATTCACACTTTATGGCCATAATTAGCCATTATGTAAATGTAACCGAAATTAAATAAAAAGTCTTAAAACACAATAACTCTAAATTATAACCCACCCAAAATTTACAACAATCAAACTTTATTCTTCTTCAATGTAGCATGAATTGAAACATCTTTTGATAATTTTGACAACCTTTTCTTCACATCTTCATTGAAGCATATTGTATGATTGATGTCTCTTGGTTCATATCAACATTAGAATCTAATATAGTAAAATCTTGGTGCCTACAAATCTGAAAAACAAATTTCTTGACAAATGGAGCCAAAATGCTAGAAACATTTTCTTCAATGCAATCTGGATCACGACAGAGTTGATCAACGAATGACAACAAGCAATCGACGAAGGGATGACGACAGGCATTGACAAGCAACGGTGGCTGACTGGGAGGGTTAGAGTTTTAGGGTGAGTGAGGAGTACGGTTGCGGGTCCAAGAGCTGCTGAACAAGGAAAGAGAAAAGATAAGTGAAAAAAAGGACTGGCAAACAGCAACGGAAATGATTGACAAATGGACTGGTGAAGGGGTGATGATTGGCGGCGGTGGTGGCAAGAGACAACAATTGACAAAGAGGGTTAGGGTTTTAGGGTGTGGGAGGAGAGAGGGAGGAGAAGGGTTTAGAGTTCCCTGAAAATATGGAAAACTGAACATGATTTTTTTTTCTACAAAAATATGTGCTTATGTAGTTAGTAAAGTTCTTTACATTGAAATTGTACATTTTTCAGATAGGAAGTGAATAGTATCACATGCAGCAGATTATCCTTTTGGTTATCTTTTTGGTCATCTAATACTAAAACTTCTCTTCCTATTTTGCTTATATTTTTTTAGATTGCTATGGATCTCAGAACCAGTATTTATGAAGAAACTGGTCTTACGTGTAGTGCAGGGGTTGCTGCCAACCGGCTACTTGCCAAGGTTTTCTATCTTTTCACAAGATCTATTGAGCATATGCGTCTCTTGTTGGAAAAAGTACAAATTTATTATTGTTTTTGGTAACTGTGAAATTGCTTGGCAACATATTTGTCCTACCATTTATGGAATAACAAGAATAGAATCTACTATCTATTTTCGTTTCTGTAGTCCTTGTGGATTAAAAATAAATGAGAAATATTGCACAGAAGAATTGAATTGACGCACCATACTTGTTATTCAGGTCTGCTCTGATATTAACAAACCAAATGGACAGTTCATTTTGCCAAATGACCGAAGAGCTATTGTAACATTCGTATCATCACTACCCATAAGAAAGGTATGTGGTCATTACTTTTACGTTGAAAAAGAATTCACAACGTTATTCTAGATGTTATTAAAATATGAAGTAATATAGATGAATAAGAGTTCTCTTCCTATAGTCCTATTTCATGAATGAAATGAATCGGCGAAGTTATTATTTCAGATTGGTGGCATCGGAAAGGTCACTGAACATATCTTAAAGGACGGTTTGGGGATTAATACATGTGAGGAGATGCTACAGAAGGGTGGTCACCTCTGTGCGTTGTTTTCTATATCCTCAGCAGGTCAGTGCGCTGCGATATCCCACAGAAATTATATAATGAACTCATGGATGTGTTGGATGTTCCATATTCTCATTTAAGATTCATTTATCTTGATGACTTGAAGACTCTTCTAGTTGTCTTTTTTCTCATCAATATAGTTTTTTTTTTTAATCTTGTATGTTAATTTGTTGATTTGTATATATTTCTCTTTTGCTTGCGTATGTATCTACTTTTTGTTTATTATATGAGGAACAATTTGTGCTTCTTATTTTTTCTTTCGTTCTTTTTTGTTTGAACTACTTTTTTTTTAATAATTATTTTTAGTGTAAGTTTGTACATCTTTTTATTTTCTTCTTCATGAAATTGTGGAGGCCCAATTTTGCATATGCATGCTTCAGCTGATCCCATTAAGAATTGCCTCATGCTAGTGATATTTGATATGGTAAAAAGTCAAGTGATGTTTGTAAGAGTTCATATTCCCCTTTTGATAGGAAGAGCTCATCAATTCTTCAACTTTTCCATTTTGAACAATGTGGGATTTTGTTCCATATACATCATCGAGAAAAGTCAAGTGATGGATCAGTTTGCTGCTCCAAGTGATGTTTGTATGAGTTCATACTTATTTTGCTGCTCTAAATGTAGTTATACATTTTGGATTTTGTGTACTAATTACAAATAGGCGAATGTCAGGATACTTCTTGTATCTCCCAATACTCTGCCATTCTACTTTTTGTATTTTCCAATACTCTTAGTCACCTAATCAAACATCTTCTTGTTTTTTCTGCTTGTTTTATGATTTACTTTTTCTTCATTTTGTGCTGCCCTGCCCTTATTGATTGTCGTATCACTTTTTAGATTACGATACAACTCATTATTGAAAGAAAAGTTGTAACCTATTTTCTTACGAAAGTATGATTTTGACAATCAATTATTGATTGTTGCATCACATTATACAATCTTTTTAGGTCTTACCCATGCTTGCAGATTTTTTCTTGTCGGTTGGGCTTGGCCTCGGGAGCACCGATACTCCACAGGTGAGATTGCGTAAGAGCATCAGTAACGAAAGAACGTTTGCAGCCACTGCTGAAGAAAAATTAATTTTCCAGAAACTTGGTAATTATTCCCCTTCTCTCTCTCCCTCCCTCTTTTATTGAAAAATACTATCATTATTTGGAATTTCACCATGCATGATGCGAGAAATGCTGGATTTCTGGTTTGGCTTTCTATTGAAATTGTACTCTAAACTCAAGTTCCAACTTTTCCCTCAGTTATCTTCAGAGTTTATACCTCCCTTATGCTTGCACTTTGTCCGTTGTATGGTTTGATGTGTTTTATCTCTCACTTTTTCTTGTTATATTTGCAAAATTTGGTGTTTCAGCTAGTAAGAACTATAACATCTCTAATTTCATCGGATAATCTTGTTAAATTATTAACATAATTTGAGAAAACATTATGATGGTAGGTTATAGGTGATGTTTTTAATATTTTGGTCATCATTTAGAAGACTGGCTGCGGAGACTAGTATTGCTTGGTGATCAGGAAAATGAATCCACCATTGTTGAATTCTAAAGAATCCCATCAGCAGTCCAAAGATAACTTTACTCTGTAAATTATTGTGGTAACGAATACCTTGAATGTTCAGATTTTCTTTATCATTAACCTTGTAAACTTTGTATAAATTGCAGCTGACCTTGCAGAGATGCTGTCTATGGACATGGAAAAAGAAGGTCTGAGCGGGCGAACACTGACGCTTAAACTAAAAACTGCATCCTTTGAGGTATCTTATTTTTCCTGAATCCTGTCTAATCTGCTTAGATTGGATAATCTAGAAGAGAATTCACATTTGCAATACGTTGAGATTTCAATAACCACATATTAAGATGTGTGACTATTAACTCTGCTCTTTTTTCTTGCAGTTGTTGATTTGATTTTACTGCTCGAACTCAACTTGTTTTAAAATATACAGGTTAGAACCAGAGCTGTAACTTTGCAACAATACATTTGTTCTAGCAGTGACATCTTGCAACATGCATCAAAGCTGCTAAAGGCTGAACTGCCCATTTCTTTGAGACTAATCGGTTGGTTCTTGATTTTACTGTCTTTTTTTTCCGAAAAAAAGTGGCAATGAAATAATTCAGGCATGTTTAATAATCATTTGTTTTCTTTTTCTTTTCTTTTTTCCTGGAAATTAAGCTTATTACCACTTCTTCCATGCATGCGTCTCTCCGTCTGTTTTCTACTTATTGAAACGGTTAAATCTAAGTTCATTTAAAAAAAAAAAAAAAAAAAAAAAACTAAGAATTCAAGCATGTTTTGCAAAATTATTAGAAAATAATCTTAAATGTTGAAAACAAAAAATTAAATTATTATCAACGGAGCTTTAGAGTTCATTGTTCACTGGTGTTGATCTCATGTGCTTCGTTTTTTTTATGTACTAATATGCTCAAATGTGATCCACCATATGTCTCACACATGGTGAAGTTAAACATTGAAATCCTTTGATCTTACACCATACATCATTTAGATTGTAAAGAGGATTTTTACATCTCTAGGGTTGCGGATATCTCACTTCAATGAAGATGGAGCCATTGCTGGGTCTGATCCAGCTCAAACACCTATTACTCGATTTATTACATCAGGAGATGCTACTAGAAAGAATATGGGTGATTGTTGCACCTCAAGTCCTGATCCTAATGTTCATAGCTTCATGGATGAATCTGAAATTGATGTATTTATCAATGGCACTGAAACACACCATCAAGATAGTAGTCATCCAAGAGTTGGCAATAATCTCTCGAATATGGATGACCGAAACTGTACGTCCAGCAATGACGTTGAGAAGTCGGAGAAATTTAAGAATCTTTCGAGCAACGTCAGTACTGATCAGGTATATTTCCAAGACTAAAGACTGGATTATGGATTATTAAAGGTAGCAAAACTTTAATCGATTGGATACACTTATAGTTCCACTTCATCATCATACAAATGGCTTCTAATGCATTAAAAACTACACGTAGGTGGACAATTTGAATGGCTTTGTCCCTCGAGTATCGGGCACAGCATGTGCTTCTTCCCCTAGAAACCTCGAAGGCAATCAGAATAATAATGTCGAAGCCAGAACTAACGTCGAGGCAAGATCACCAGATAATAATGGACAGAATTTGTGGATCGATGACTACAAATGTGCAATCTGTGGTGCCGAAGTACCAGAGAGTTTCATTGATGAAAGACAAGAGCACATGGATTTTCACATTGCGGAAAAACTCCAGGAAGAGGAATCTGGCATTCGTTCAAGAACCCTTACGCCAATCCGAAGGTAATCTTATTTTGCACTCTCGGATTTAGTTGAATTTATGTTTTAACTACCGTTGAAAAGCAAAATAGGGAAAAACTTAAACAAACATCTTGATGATTTTAAACGAGAAGACTATTGGTGCATAGATTATGGTCGGGCTGAATGTGAGATCCCACATCAGTTAGAGAGAGAAACATAACATTCCTTATAAGGGTGTGGAAACCTTTCTCTAATAGATGTATTTTAAAATCGTGAGGATGACGACGATACATAACGGGTCAAAGTGAACGATGTCTGCTAGCAGTAGGCTGGGGTTGTTACATTGAACGTCAAGGATGCTTGATGGATGTATTTCTAAAAACTTTACGAACTATTCTGCATTTGGCCGATCAAGAACGTCATCCTAGATGTGTTTTTATAATTGTAATTCTTGGAATTTGTGCCTGGTTTCTTACAAGTCTAAATCTAACAGGACTCCTGACAAGAACCAACTGGCAAGTCAAAGAAAGCAGAAAAGGCAAAAGTCAACTCCAAAGAAAGAGGTCAAACACATTCCAATTGACTTATTCTTTGTGAAGAATAATCAGAAGTTTTAGTATTGGTACGTGTTGCGTTTGTATATATCTGTTCATATCTTTCGGGATATTACCCATTGTTTTTTTTTTAAGGAGAGTTCATCGTTTCATTCTTCTCATGCAGCGTCATAAGTTTCTACATTAATGTATAGCAAGTATAATGATAAATCTCATTCTTTTTATGGATTGGGACTTGGCGTCTTGGTTTCTTGGTAAAACACTGGTATTTAGATTTTGTCCTTTTTTCATGCGAGAATTGATGTGTATTCGAATTATAGGGGCTAGTAATCGACGATATGCTCATATTGGTGACGTTATTATTGTTGTAATCAAGAAAGCTGTCCCAAATACACCCCTAGAAAGATCAGAAGTGATCAGAACGGTAATTGTACGTACTTGTAAAGAACTCAAACTTGTAAAGAACTCAAACTTGTAAAGAAATCAAAAGAGAAAATAGTATGACAATATGTTGCAATTGTTATTGATCAAAAATAGGATCGATAGTTATTTATGAGGATAGTTGAAATATATGTAAATTAATCAAAATCATTGAAAATATTAATATCCGTGTTTATTTTTTAAATGTTACCTGATAACTTTCATCACTTTTATTTTAAAATGACAAATCTTGACATATGATTTAAACTTTATGAAATTATAAGCAAGATTTTTTAAATAATTTAAAAAAAAATCATCACCCCCAACTTAATCCAACATAAATAGAAGATTATCTTGTGATATAAACTTTAGTAAGATTGTTCGAATCACCAAACCTATTAACCTAAAATTTTGAATGGATAAAAAAAAATTCCTCCAACTCAAATCATATGATAGGCCGACGATAGGCCGACGATTGGATTTCGTGGATTGAATTTTACTTGACTGTCTACGGCTCCATTGCATGTGCTCGGGGGAGAAGTTTTGTATAAACTTTCTAAGAGGTGGAATAGAATAACCCGGAAGCGTAATTATATATATATATATATATATATTTTTTTTTTTTTGGTAAAAGGAAAGGGCACCCCCCACACACATATAACATAAGAAGCATACTTCAAAACAGAATCAAGGGACCAAGAAAAGCATTGAAATAAAAAAGTAATAATAATACATAACAAAAAAAAAAAAGGAAAAAAAAGAACTTTTCTTCCATTCATCTATTGCTTTTGGCTTTGGCCGAACCCTGCCCCCCTCAACTATCTATAAGGAGAATCAGATTGAAAAAGCCGTATACGAAGCCAACGCTGAATGCATAAAAGTATCCTAAATTACAACAATCACAGTCAAGTCTTCCCCCAACCTTGTTCTTACTTCTCTGTTTTCTTGGCATTTTCATGTCGTCCAAGGATTTCGATCCCCCCCGAGGCTGATCGACTCGTCCAACCAACCACCAACTTTTAATCAACAGCTGAAACAGAAGAAAGTGCAGAAAAAGATACTAAGATCTATGGCAAACAAATCAAAATTAAAAGAAACAAAAGTTGACAGCATACAACAGTGGATTCCAGTCGAATTTGGACCCGAAGACAAGCTAGTAAACATCTGAAGATAATATCAACCCGAGTTACATCATCATTCTCGTCTAAAATAGGCACACGACGCGCAACTCACCTGGTGGTATCTCGTCTAAATCAGAGGTGAAGATCTTCGATGTCAGGTAGAACAGTTGTTTGTTTACCGGAGATTCTATTAGTCTGGCTGACCACCAGTTGACCACATGCACCACTAATATCTTGACCCATCTGCTTACGAATGGTTGTGCGTATATTATACGTACCCCGAAGAACTTGTTGGAATGCTGAAACTTTCTCATCACTACTGGTTTTGAATTGGCTTGAACTACCAATAGGATTGAATGGTATTAAGTTCACAACCTGTTTTTCCAGGAAGGTACAATTTAGTAACATCAAAATTGCTAAGCAAACAAAGGTACTAGATTCATGGGGTGATTACGTGTGAAGTCTCCAAGAAACTTTCAAACACACAAAAAATCATGATCAACGATTCTCAAAGCCACTTGCAAGCAGAGTCACTTGTTTATGCAATGCACATACGCTCAGAGTTCCTAGACAACGATTCTTAATATATTCGAATGACATCGGAATTTTTGGATATGACCTTTAACGTACCACCCTTTCAAGAATGTAAAAGCCCTATTATGGAAAAACCTCATCATGGTTTTATTTTGGAATATGTGGAAAGAAAGAAATCAGAGAATGTTTGCAGAAAAGACACGTACCTATGCAAAACTTTTCGACAATCTTGTTTACCAAGCTATATCTTGGTGTAACCTGTCTAATATTTTTATTTCCTATAGTTATACTTCTCATGGCAAATTGGGAAGTTCTTTTGTAAACAACATGAATTATACATCCCTTCTGTAAATTTCAATTATCAATAAAATTGTTAAAAAAAAAAAAAAAAAAAAACCATGATCTATATTGAGAGCTTACCACCAGGAATGTCTCTAACAACTTTCCAAGTTGGTGGGCATGTTGCTCTTCATCATTCACTCCGTCAAGCATTATGTACTCGATGAATATCTTTTGCCGACTGAAACAATAGACATAACATACATTTAAATTGGAGAAGCGTTGGAGTATCACGACATGTTCAGCAGAAGCAAATACAACGTATTTACCTCTTTTGTTGATATTCTTGGAGAGCATCCATAAGTTTTTGTAAAGGAAAAGCCCGAGCTGCAGGCATTATCTGGCAACGAATATCTTGCGCAGGTGCGTGCAAGGAAACGGCCAAGTTCAATCCCGGTAGATCACCATGCAGTTTGCTTATAGCATGAATAATCCCAACCTACAGGTATACAAAAGAATACAACTTCGACTACTCACCTTCTTTTAACAGTTTAACAGAACTCAAAGGAAGAGGAAACGGATAAGAGGATAGAAACTGACTTTCTGAACTCCCATTACTTTATTTTATAATCAAATATTCAGGATCAGACTTGAGAAAAATAAAGAATCTCAGACAAAAGACTCATCGTTAGGACAAACACTATTCTCAGATAACAAGATCACTGCCCTTGAAACTTTTTTTCTTTGACAAGAGACAAACGTTTCATCGATTGATGAATTCCGGCCTTGAAACTTCTTAACAACAAATGATAAATCCATCTTTTTACATAATCCGAAAGTATGTTGAGTTTAAATAATGACATTTGGACGTTGTCAAGAGGAATGAAGGAGAAGATCTTAGTAGTTCTAAACATTCGCGCAGGAATTGCACTATATGAGTGCACGACCTCAAATTCGTACAAAATTAGATAAAGAGTAAAGACCATAGAAATGGAAAACAGGAAGATCAGAGTACATACAGTTGAGATAGTAATTCTCTTGGGTGATAATAAGAATGGGGAGCCTATCATGACACGGACAGCTTCCACTAAAGCAGAATAGTTATTCAATGGTTCTCCCATTCCCTGTCACAAAATAATAAAATCAACATGAAAAAGTATATTCTAAGAGAAAAAAAAAAGTATGAAATGATAGGAAAGCACGAGGCAGGCAACTTCTTGCTAACAAGGAAACAAAGGACAATTAAACAGACATGGGGCCACAATCTGCTAAGAAAATAAAGAGAAGGGGCTTATGAAGTTGAATGCTCGAAATAAGGCAACAGTAGTCTGGTTCCTGTCATGCACACTTCGCCATTAATCACTACATATGTCCATAATACCGTAATTCTCTGGCAAATTATTCAATTTTCAAAATTAACCTCAAAGTCGAGACAATTTCATTGATGATTGAAATTTACAAAAGGGATGTATTATCTGTAGTGTTTATAAAAGACCTTCCCAATTTACAATGAGGGAGGCATAACTATAGGAAGTAAAAATATTAGGCAGTTTACACCAAGATATAACTTAGTAAACAACATTGTTGAAAAGTTTTGTGCAGTTCGGTGTCTTTTTTACAAATATTCTCTCATTTCTTTCTTTCCATAGATTCCAAAAGATAGCCATGATGAAGTTTTTTCATAGTAAGGCTTTTGCACTCTTGAAAGGGTGGTACATTAAAGCCATATCCAAAGTCAATAAGTTTCGAACAGCAAGGAATGTTCACGTTTAGGCGAAGAATGATATGGGCATACGCTCTAAGGATGCATACGCCATGCTGAGTAGAAAAATGAAATCCCATAGGGATGCCTCAAAAGGGTCTACCTCTAAGTGGAAACTTTTTTTGATACAATAAAAATTCAGACAAATGAAAGGATGGAAGAATCACCATGAAAACAACATTGCGTATTTGGAACAAACGGGAGGCATGGACCAACTGCTCTACTATCTCCCCTGAAGTCAGATTGCTTTTGTATCCCATTGTTCCGGTTGCACAGAATCTGCAGCCCATTTTGCAGCCAACCTGAGAACAGACATATAATGTGAGACTTACAACGAAATATCAAGAACAAAAAAAAAAAAAAAAAAAAACAAAA